TAGCTTTAAAAGTTACTTCTATAACCTACTTCTTACTTCTAATACTTCCATTATCCAAACGGACCCTTAATGGTGTTATTGTTGTCATCATGTTGTTATCTTTTCTCTTGAAAATTTACTTCAGGTTGACCCTTCTGAGTTGTTTCATCCCCTATGCGCGGCTCTTTGTAGTTCTGTCATCAACTCCTTTTGGCACTCGTCCACTTGCAAACTGGCAAGTTGATTCAATAACATAACATAGTCAACACAGTTCATAATATTAGTCCACTTAATAGATAACTGGTGGTAAAGGTACATCATCCATCATTTATCTATTTACAATGCACCTCGGATAGACTACACCTATCATCATCAAACTTCATGCCCCATGCTCCAGAAACTCCTAATCAAGGCTAACACATTCACCCAGTACGATATGCAATGCATGCTTATAAGTTATCATATGTAATGAAACATACATGTACACACACAGAATCATCAGTTGTTGAAGCCAGAATTTGGTGCTGGTATTTGATGATGAGAGTTCGTATTTACAACGTTACGAGCTGCATCGACCTTCTCACTATTTCCTCTATCAACCAGTCCTTGTGACTCTCCTGCTTTATCATCTGCCTGTATTTCATTACTCAACACCTTCCTCGGCATTGCAAAGCATGAGCTTACTAACATGACACCAAGAACAAGAATCACTAAAGCCTTCATCCTTCTTCCTATTGTACCTACAAAACATATACTGCATCAATAGTATAATGTTACATAAGTAAAAACTTGGTAAATGATATGATTATTACAGTTAAAAGAAGAAAATCTGTGCGAGTTTTTGGTTAAGGGAGGAATGCTATTTATAGATGGAAATTGTAACTATTTGATTAGTGATTCTCCACTAATACGTGACAATTGCCAGTGGGATGATTTTTCTGGAAAATTTTGTTCATCCACAAGATTTAACTGGAGAATAACTTTTGTTTTACATGGTGATGTAAAACGCCAATACCTAATCTTCAACAGAATCTTACTCAAATGAAGTTTTGTACTGTAAATGCTGATATGGAGGTTATTCATTTGATACTTGTATTTAGAGTGTACCTTGCAGGTTAATATTAGTTGATCTATTTAATTCATAAAATTTGAAGATATTAGTTGCACGTGCACATTCCAAGTAAATATCAGTGTTAGTTTTTAAGACTGTAGTATGTTGAGTTAACATATGTGAAATTGAAATATTCTTTAGTTTACATATATGGAGATTAGAGATCTTCTTTAAGTCTTTCATTTCCGTGATGGAAGATTAAAAAAATTAATAATAAACCGAGATAATACTGAACAGCTTAAGTTACTAGACCCTTTTTGTTGATAAATTGAAGAATATATGTGCAAGCATACTCATGACATGGTAGTATTTGCATCCTATAAATAATAATCAAATATGGCTAGTTGGTAGGCTGAAATCTAATTAACTGTTGCCTGGCAAAAAGGATAGATGCAGTCTCCACTACCTTATTATTGCTTTTGGTAATGTTTTCCTGATTTGAGAAACTTGCCATCATCTTTGCATCTCACTTTGGTGCACTGGCCATAAAATGGTTCTCCAATTGCTAATCCACTAACCCTTTGCCAAGAAAATTCCTCCATAGGTAGCTTCCTTTGAACCATAAATTAATATATCTCTTGATTTTCACATCTACCTTAAAAGACTTTTTCCCTAGCTTTTCCGAAATTCCAATATTTTTTTCCGGTTCCCTAAATTATTAGGCTGAAGCTCTAAGAACTGCGCATGAAGGTCTTGGATTTACCTTTAGTCCTATCCTTAGCCTGTATAGTTGACAGTTATCCTAGATCTCTCATATGTGTCAATGATAATCACAACATGTAATTAACCAGAAATCAAAATTTATCTCACTAACTTGTTGTATTCCAACACTAGTACAAACCTGCTTTGCCCAAACGGTTGAAACCATTTGGGTAAACTATGTCCCAAATGGTTAAAACCATTTGACCAAATGCCGTTGGAGCTGCATTCGTTCAAACAGTGGCCCAAAACGGTTTCAACCATTTGGGACTCTCCCTCTCACCATATTTAATACATTTTTAAGAAAAAAAATTTGGAAATAGCTAACACCTTAACACTTGCACAATAATTCTTAGTGGATGCATCTAGGTATATATAGTTGCTTGTGCTCTTGTCCACCGATGATGAGTAAGTACCCATATAGAGTTTTAGAAGTGTAGGTGTACCTAGATTATTTCACGTCTCTGCAATTCACCAAAAATACATATGCATATATGTATAATCGATCATCTCATTAAGAAATGTGTAATATGGATTTTAAAAAGCCATTAGAAGAAAATTCACCAATCCTCCATGGCCCGACTCATGCTTCTCAAGCCACCTGAGCCACCTGTATAGGTTGCTCTACCATTCTTGTTTGACTCTCGGTTCTCAGTATTGCATGCCGCCTCAATCTACACATCAATGTTAGATTTAAATTTGTAAACTGACAATGACAAAGCCAATTACATACTAAAATTTGATTTAATTACTTTATACACATTCTTGTCCTCAGAAGCAAAATAGGCATGAAGAGCCGGCCATTTGTCTCTATCAATCAAAGAGAACGGCGGAATGTCAGAGAGTCCTTCCCTCTCGCCTTTGGCAGTGTTATTTCATAGTTTATAACACTTCTTCTTAATCTAGCATCTACGATATTGAACCCCCTCTTGCATCCTCAACTTCACGCCTTGGTAGATAGCAAGATGATTGAGAGGGAGATTAGGATCCTAGGGGAGAATCTAGTAGAATTTCTGCACAAACAAATGAATCACATTAAATTTTAGGTACTCAATGAATGTAAAATAATTGCATAAATCAAAATATAAAAATATTTGTACCTGAGCATTTGACCAGAAAAGCGTCAAACGACTTATAGTGCTCCTCGCCCCATTCCAAATGATGTGGATACATTCCATAATTGCGGCTATCTTCACCTAAATACTTGCCCCATTTCTAAGCATAGTTGCTGTAAAGTGAATTGGGTTTTCTAGGGTTTCTTCTCATATTCTCATTGATAGAATTGTTGGCTTATATAGCCTTACACACACGTTTACACAAAGGCCCTCTAAGAC